CTTATATATATATATATATCCTTATATATATATATATATAATATACATTATGTATATATATTATATTTATTTAGTTATTTATACACACACATACATTATTTATTTGTTTATATTTATACGTATATGTGTGTGTGTGTGTGTATATATATAACTGTATTTATACATATACATATATTTATATATGTATATCTATATATATATATATATATATATATATGTCTATATATATATATATATGTGTGTACATGTATATTTATACGTACACGTATATTTATACGGGTACATATATATTTATACGGATACATATATTTTTATATACTTATGTATATTTACTTATTTTTTCATTTAATGATATATTTATCTCTTCCTTTAATGATATATTTATTTTTTCATTTAATGATGTACTTATCTTTTAATTTAAGGATGTATTTATCTTTTAATTTAATGATATATTTATCGTAATTTTTAATGGTATATCTATGTAAGTTTACCTATATATTTGTTTTTATATTTATCTTTATTTACAGAGATATTTATCTATATACTTATGTCTCTATATATTTTTATATTAAATAATTTCTTGTTTTATATTTATCTTTATATATAATGCTATAGATCTATTTAAATATTTATCTATATTTATCAATATTTACAGAGATATTTATCTATATTTACAGAGATTTATCTATATTTACAGAGATATTTATCAATATTTACAGAGATATTTATCTATATTTACAGAGATTTATCTATATTTACAGAGATATTTATCTATATTTACAGAGATTTATCTATATTTACAGATATTTATCTATATTTACAGAGATTTATCTATATTTACAGAGATATTTATCTATATTTACAGAGATATTTATCTATATATTTATCTGTCTATATATATCTTTATATATAATGATTTAGTTATTTATAATGATGTTTATTTTTAATTATATATTTCTTTATATTTAGACTTTGAATTGATGCTATATTTATTTATTTTTAACTTTATATTGAATGCTATATTTATTCATAAATTTATCTTTATATGGAATGCTATATTTATTGATATATTTTTTCTAGATTTACCTTTATATTCATTGCTATATATATCTATATTTATGTTTACAGTGAATGCTATATTTATTCTTATATTTATCTAGATTTACCTATATATTCATTGCTATATTTATTCTTATATTTATCTAGATTTACCTATATATTCATTGCTATATTTATTCTTATATTTATCTAGATTTACCTTTATATTCATTGCTATATTTATTCTTATATTTATCTACATTTACTTCTATATTCATTGCTATATTTATTCTTATATTTATCTAGATTTACCTATATATTCATTGCTATATTTATTCTTATATTTATCTATTATTTACCTTTATATTCATTGCTATATTTATTCTTATATTTATCAACATTTACTTCTATATTCATTGCTATATTTATTCTTATATTTATCTACATTTACCTATATATTCATTGCTATATTTATTCTTATATTTATCTACATTTACCTTTATATTCATTGCTATATTTATTCTTATATTTATCTACATTTACTTCTATATTCATTGCTATATTTATTCTTATATTTATCTACATTTACCTATATATTCATTGCTATATTTAATCTTATATTTATCTACATTTACCTTTATATTCATTGCTATATTTAATCTTATATTTATCTACATTTACTTCTATATTCATTGCTATATTTATTCTTATATTTATCTACATTTACCTATATATTCATTGCTATATTTATTCTTATATTTATCTAGATTTACCTATATATTCATTGCTATATTTATTCTTATATTTATCTACATTTACCTTTATATTCATTGCTATATTTATTCTTATATTTATCTACATTTACCTATATATTCATTGCTATATTTATTCTTAGATTTATCTACATTTACCTTTATATTCATTGCTATATTTATTCTTATATTTATCTACATTTACTTCTATATTCATTGCTATATTTATTCTTATATTTATCTACATTTACCTATATATTCATTGCTATATTTATTCTTATATTTATCTACATTTACCTATATATTCATTGCTATATTTATTCTTATATTTATCTACATTTACCTATATATTCATTGCTATATTTTTTCTTATATTTATCTACATTTACTTCTATATTCATTGCTATATTTATTCTTATATTTATCTAGATTTACCTTTATATTCATTGCTATATTTATTCTTATATTTATCTACATTTACCTTTATATTTAATGCTATATTTATTCATATATTTATCTAGATTTATCTATATATTTATCTAGATCTATTGATATATTTATCTATATACTTATCAATATATTTATCTCTCTCTCTCTCTCTATATATATATTGATATGTTCATCTATATTTACCTTTTATATTGATCTTTATATTTAATGATATATTTTTCTTTATCTATTTACATATTTATCTATACATTTATTGATATGTTTCTATATATTTATCTTTATATTTACTGCTATATATTGTTTTTATTTATTGATATTATCTATATTGATATATATGTATATTGATATTGGCTGCTAACTTTATTATTGTTTTAGGTTATGGGTATGGCATTTATTATTGTTATTTTTATTATTTTGCTGATGATTTGTCAATTTTCTCATTAGGGAGATACTGTGGCTCCTAAAGGAGCCGATGTTGAGATGGAACAACCAAGATAAGTGTTTACTTCTTCTCGGTCTTCTTGGGGAGGAGCACAGCCTGGATGTTAGGCAGAACACCACCCTGGGCAATGGTGACGCCAGACAGCAGCTTGTTGAGCTCTTCATCGTTACGGATGGCAAGCTGCAAGTGACGGGGGATGATACGGGTCTTCTTGTTATCACGAGCGGCGTTACCTGCCAATTCCAGGACCTCAGCGGCCAGGTATTCCATGACAGCAGCCAGGTACACAGGGGCACCTGCTCCGACACGCTCGGCGTAATTGCCCTTACGCAGAAGGCGGTGAATTCTGCCAACAGGGAACTGAAGGCCGGCCCTGCTGGAGCGGGACTTTGACTTGCCCTTAACCTTACCACCCTTACCACGACCAGACATGATGCTTGCTTGTTAGGTAGTTTATAAACCTTATTTCGGTTTTGACGGAGCTTAGCTTTTATAGGCGGCCCCGGATGACTGAGTCAGATTGCGACGACTGGCATGTTCTGTGTACACCAGATCAGCCAGTAGTCGTGGTCCTGTACGCGGAGGCTGGCGCGCGTGTCGAGCCATATAAAAGGAAAATCTGACGTGCGCAAACATACCTTGTCCCAACAAGCATCATGCCTCCCAAAACTTCCGGAAAGGCTGCCAAGAAGGCCGGTAAGGCCCAAAAGTCTATCACCAAGGGTGATAAGAAGAAGAAGCGCAGGAGGAAGGAGAGCTACAGCATCTACATCTACAAGGTGCTCAAGCAGGTCCACCCTGATACCGGTATCTCCTCCAAGGCCATGTCTATCATGAACTCTTTCGTGAATGACATTTTTGAGCGCATTGCAGCTGAGGCTTCCCGCCTTGCACACTACAACAAGCGTTCCACCATCACCAGCCGGGAGATTCAGACCGCTGTCAGGTTGTTGCTCCCTGGAGAACTGGCAAAGCACGCTGTTAGTGAGGGCACCAAGGCCGTCACCAAGTACACTTCCTCCAAGTAAATCTCTAGGTTGCATCATTTGTTTGCCTCCTAGAACAACATCGGCTCCTTTAGGAGCCACATATTGTAATAAAGCAGATATACGATGACGTTGGTAACAACCCACTTGGTAACATGTTCTCTGCCTCTTACTCTTTTTCTTCTTATTATTATTATTATTGTTAATATTACTACCACTACTGTTATTATTACTATTACAATAACTACTACTACTACTAGTATAAGATCATTTATTGTCCTTACACATGGATAGATAGCTCTACAAGTGCTTAATGAATTACCAACAAGTCAGTTAGTCAGTCAGTTATTTATTCATTAACCCTAGTTATCTCGCGTGTTTAGTATTTGCGTTGAATTTAGAAACGTGTGTTGTATGATCTTATTGTGTTTGGTATTAGTATCATCATCATCAAAATACATTTGACGCCATTTACTATTATTATTATTATTATTCAAGGAATGGGCAAATCAGGATCGGTCACTAGAGCCTAGAAACTACAGAGGACGACATGACGTAACACCTAACTTGTGGAGGAGGAGGAGGTAAGGTAGGTTTGATCATATGTGGTATATTTATTTACTAGTGTATTTCTTTGTTTCTTTAGCAGACAGGACTAGGGAGAAAAGAAAAGTGGACCATGAACTTTATTTGTTTGTCACAAATTAAGTAATAATGATAGAGTAATGAGTTTTGCGTCATTGTCGGGTTTGTTAGGATTTACTTGTCACAAGCAAACACACACACAACTCAATTATTTTATATGTGGTATATGTTTATTGATTCATTTATCTTTCAGCAGATAGACCTTGGGAGGAAAGTGGATCATGGCCTCTGTTTATTCTGTCAGTCAAAGTGAGTATCAAAATAATGTTTTGCGTTATTGAGCGTGTTGATTGCAACATACACATGCATACATACATATACATACATATATATAACTCTCTCTGTATATATATATAACTATATAGTTATATAACTATATATATATAAAACTATAGATATATATATATTATTATTATATATATATATATATAAAACTATATATATATATAAAACTATATATATATATAAAACTATATATATATATAAAACTATATATATATATAAAACTATATATATATATAAAACTATATATATATATAAAACTATATATATATATATAAAACTATATATATATATAAAACTATATATATATATAAAACTATATATATATATAAAACTATATATATATATATAAAACTATATATATATATATAAAACTATATATATATATATAAAACTATATATATATATATAAAACTATATATATATATAAAACTATATATATATATATAAAACTATATATATATAAAACTATATATATATAAAACTATATATATATATAAAACTATATATATATATAAAACTATATATATATAAAACTATATATATATATAAAACTATATATATATATATAAAACTATATATATATATATAAAACTATATATATATATAAAACTATATATATATATATAAAACTATATATATATATATAAAACTATATATATATATATAAAACTATATATATATAACTATATATATGTATAACTATATATATGTATAACTATATATATGTATAACTATATATATGTATAACTATATATATGTATAACTATATATATGTATAACTATATATATGTATAACTATATATATGTATAACTATATATATGTATAACTATATATATGTATAACTATATATATGTATAACTATATATATGTATAACTATATATATGTATAACTATATATATGTATAACTATATATATGTATAACTATATATATGTATAACTATATATATGTATAACTATATATATGTATAACTATATATATGTATAACTATATATATGTATAACTATATATATGTATAACTATATATATGTATAACTATATATATATATATATATATATATATAAATATATATATATAAAACTATATATAACTATATATATATATAAAACTATATATAACTATATATATATCTATATATCTATATCTATATATATTACTATGTATATAACTATATATATATATAACTATATATATATATAACTATATATATATATATATAACTATATATATATATATATAACTATATATATATAACTATATATATCTATATATATATAAATATATAACTATATATATATATATATATATAACTATATATATATTTATATAACTATATATATATTTATATAACTATATATATGTATATATAACTATATATATATAACTATATATATATATATATATATATATATATGCATATATATATATATATATGCATATATATAACTATATATATAGATATAGATATATATATAGATATAGATATAGATATATAGATATATATATATATATAGTTATATGTATATATAAACTTTATATATATATATATATATATATATATATATATATAGTTGCACATACATACAGACATACAAACCTAGATAAATACATACATACATACAAACATAGATAAACACACACATGCATACAAACCTATATAAACACACACATGCACACAAACATAGATAAACACACACATGCATACAAACATAGATAAACACACATGCATACAAACATAGATAAACACACACATACACACAAACATAGATAAACACACATGCATACAAACCTATATAAACACACAGATGCACACAAACATAGATAAACACACACATGCACACAAACATAGATAAACACACACATGCATACAAACCTATATAAACACACACATGCACACAAACATAGATAAACACACACATGCATACAAACATAGATAAACACACATGCATACAAACATAGATAAACACACACATACACACAAACATAGATAAACACACATGCATACAAACCTATATAAACACACAGATGCACACAAACATAGATAAACACACACATGCATACAAACATAGATAAACACACATGCATACAAACATAGATAAACACACACATGCACACAAACATAGATAAACACACACATGCATACAAACATAGATAAACACATACATACATGCAAACATAGATAAATACATACATACATACATACAGAGATAAACACATAACATACACTTTCTCTCACTATGTATATGTACAGCGTGTGTATGTATGCATGTATGTATGTATGTGTATGGTAGCGTTTGCACATTTGTATGTATATATGCTTGTCAATATAATTAGTATGGATATAATTATCAGGATTAGTAGTTTGTGTACATTGACAACTTTTACACTACTTGTCAGCATTTCATCTCTCTGGGAACAAACTTTAGGCCCTGAAAAGGGCCGAGGATAATGATTTTGTGTTGCAGGTATGCAATCAAAACCTTAGGCGCGCTCTCCGCGGATACGGCGAGCAAGCTGGATGTCCTTAGGCATGATGGTAACTCTTTTAGCATGGATAGCGCACAGGTTGGTGTCCTCGAAGAGGCCGACCAGGTAAGCCTCGGAGGCTTCCTGCAGAGCCATGACAGCAGAGGACTGGAAGCGGAGGTCAGTCTTGAAGTCCTGGGCAATCTCACGGACCAGGCGCTGGAAGGGCAGCTTGCGGATCAGGAGCTCAGTGCTCTTCTGGTAACGACGGATCTCACGAAGGGCAACAGTTCCGGGCCTGTAACGATGGGGCTTCTTGACACCTCCGGTAGCAGGGGCAGACTTACGTGCTGCCTTGGTGGCCAACTGCTTGCGGGGGGCCTTGCCTCCGGTAGACTTACGTGCAGTCTGCTTGGTACGTGCCATTTTGCGAGTTTGTATCTAAACAGATATGAAACGCGATCTCGCTCAAGACGTCAATTTATAGGAGAGCGAGCGAGCCCTAGCCGAGTCGCGTGTGGCTGCGAGAGTCTGGCTTAAGCCCGCCTATTTCTACTGTGTAAATATTGCCAGAGATACGGCACACGTCAGGTCCTGTAATGCAGCCTCCGTGATGCTATGTTGAATTCCAAGTCGAAGGATGCCACAAACGACTAAGGCCCAATCAATTGAAAGTATTGTGCACGTGACCTTTAGTCGATAACAAGGCCTAGGCAAGTTTGTATTTGCACAGCGGTCACTTAAGATAAGCGCTCGTCTGAGTCGGCCGCCTCGCCGCTACGCAGACGGGGCGCGGCGGTAGCCTTACCCGAGGTGGGGCCATCCGTTTTTCATCTCGCTAACTCTCAGCAAGAAAACCAGCATCATGACCGGACGAGGCAAAGGAGGAAAGGGGCTCGGAAAGGGTGGCGCAAAGCGTCATCGCAAGGTGTTGCGTGATAACATCCAGGGTATCACCAAGCCTGCCATCCGTCGTCTTGCTCGCCGTGGAGGTGTCAAGCGTATCTCTGGTCTCATCTACGAAGAAACCCGTGGTGTCCTCAAGGTGTTCCTCGAGAACGTGATCCGTGACGCCGTCACCTACACCGAGCACGCCAAGAGGAAGACCGTCACCGCCATGGACGTCGTCTACGCTCTCAAGCGCCAGGGACGTACCCTGTACGGTTTCGGAGGTTAAATGTCTTGACCGACAACTACCATCAAAACAAACAACCCCCACCAAACCAAAAACCTTGGACCTATTTTAGGTCCTACAAATACTCATAAAGAGGATACAATTTGACAATGTGTGTATGTTATCTGTTTATCTGGTTTTATTGATAAATCAACACGAGTCCCCAGTATTGCGATTACAAATATTGATTTGTGTTGCATCTGTACTGATTCTTTTTCTCATTACTTTAAATATTATTATCAAGCTTTATTAAGACCGACAACATTTGTACTGTTATTTTTATCATTACTCTAAATATTATTATCAAGCTTTATTAAGACCGACAACATTTGTACTGTTATTTTTATCATTACTCTAGATATTATTATTAAGACCGACAACATTTGTACTGGTATTTTTATCATTACTCTAAATATTATTATCAAGCTTTATTAAGACCGACAACATTTGTACTGTTATTTTTATCATTACTCTAAATATTATTATCAAGCTTTATTAAGACCGACAACATTTGTACTGTTATTTTTATCATTACTCTAGATATTATTATTAAGACCGACAACATTTGTACTGGTATTTTTATCATTACTCTAAATATTATTATCAAGCTTTATTAAGACCGACAACATTTGTACTGTTATTTTTATCATTACTCTAAATATTATTATCAAGCTTTATTAAGACCGACAACATTTGTACTGTTATTTTTATCATTACTCTAAATATTATTATCAAGCTTTATTAAGACCGACAACATTTGTACTGTTATTTTTATCATTACTCTAAATATTATTATCAAGCTTTATTAAGACCGACAACAACCACCATCAAAACAAACAACCCCCACCAAACCAAAAAATTTGGACCTATTTTAGGTCCTACAAATACTCATAAAGAGGATACAATTTGACAATGTGTGTATGTTATCTATTTATCTTGCTTTATTTACCTACTACTGCTGCTGCTACTACTACTACTACTACTACTACTACTACTACTACTACTACTACTATTATTATTACTTGTACTATTGCTACTACTACTATTAATAATTCAACACGAGTCCCCAGTATTGCGATTACAAATATTGATTTGTGTTGCATCTGTACTGATTCTTTTTCTCATTACTCTAAATATTATTATCAAGCTTTATTAAGACCGACAACATCTGTACTGGTATTTTTATCATTACTCTAAATATTATTATTAAGACCGACAACATTTGTACTGGTATTTTTATCATTACTCTAAATATTATTATCAAGCTTTATTAAGACCGACAACATTGGTACTGTTATTTTTATCATTACTCTAAATATTATTATCAAGCTTTATTAAGACCGACAACATCTGTAGTGGTATTTTTATCATTACTCTAAATATTATTATCAAGCTTTATTAAGACCGACAACAACCACCATCAAAACAAACAACCCCCACCAAACCAAAAAATTTGGACCTATTTTAGGTCCTACAAATACTCATAAAGAGGATACAATTTGACAATGTGTGTATGTTATCTATTTATCTTGCTTTATTTACCTACTACTGCTGCTACTACTACTACTACTACTACTATTACTATTACTATTACTACTACTACTACTACTACTACTACTACTATTACTACTACTATTACTTGTACTATTGCTACTACTACCATTAATAATTCAACACGAGTCCCCAGTATTGCGATTACAAATATTGATTTCTCTTGCATCTGTACTGATTCTTTTTCTCATTACTATAGTTATTATTATCAAGCTTTATTAAGTCACTGTGTGCGTTATTGTTGTTGTAAATGATGATGAACAAGAAATGTGTATGATTACATTAATTAAGCTTTAGTTACAATTTGACTCTAATAACCAACATGATGCAGAAGCAAAGAAACAAACCAAAGAACAAACAAACAGGTGTAACATGTTATTGCAAGCGAAGTAATGATTTGATTCTGTTTTATGATTTTATGATTTATGCTTTCCCTTGAGTGAGTGAGACGGAGAAATGTCATGAAAGAAAATTTGAGCATTACCTTTGTATTTGTTTGCATCAGCATTATTTCCTTCCTCGAGTCTACTTGTCTGAGTGTGCGTTTTACACATGCAGATGATGATATACAACAGGACGTCCATGCTGAGGAGAATAAAGAAAGACTGAAGTAGATATATTAGCCTAGTGGTAGTGATGGTTAAGTGCATGCAGCTGTATGTGTGTGTGTGTATGTATGTATGTATGTATGTGTGCGTGTGTCTGTCTGTCTGTCTGCCTGTCTGTCTGTCTGTCTGTGTGTTCTGAGTGTCTGCATGTGTGTCTGTTCCATTTTGCTTCTAAATTACCCCCTGTGTAAAAGGAATGACACACAGGGGCGAGGGATTTGAACGCTGATCAGCAAGATTGCTACACGAGATCGCTACCGCAACAGAACGCTATAGAAAGACACTCAGAGGAAGGGAGAAAAAGCCAGACGGACACATACACGGAGGAAGGGAGAAAAAGACAGACAGACAGACAGACAGACACAGAAGGAGGGAGTCTTGTCTGTCCGTCTATCTGGCTAGCTAACTAGCTGCTATACATCTATATATGGTAGAAAAACCCACAACAATGTAAAATACTAGATTTATTGAAAATGAAAGTGAGACGACAGTTTCGGAATCCACCTGGATTCCATCCTCATTAGTATCAACACGGTAGAGTGTTTTCCTCATTCACATGCATATATTTGTATATCTGCACAAGCAACAGCTGACCTTACAAATACTAATAACTCGGAGTACACCTCACACAAAACGTACACACAATACCTTGTTTTGTTAGTTTTTGGTATTATTTTAGTGAGAAAGTCAATCACATGGATACATACATAGATACATGCACAGCTACACACATACATAGATACACAGATGCATAGATACACGCATACATCGAAACACACCTACATAGAAACATAGCTACATAGATACGCAGCTACATAGATACGCACATACATAGATACACAGATGCATGGATACACACATACATAGAAACACAGCTATTTAGAAACATAGCTACATAGATACGCAGCTACATAGATACGCACATGCATAGATACACACATACATCGAAACACAGCTACATAGAAACATAGCTACATAGATACGCAGCTACATAGATACGCACATACATAGATACACAGATGCATGGATACACACATACATAGAAACACAGCTATTTAGAAACATAGCTACATAGATACGCAGCTACATAGATACGCACATGCATAGATACACACATACATCGAAACACAGCTACATAGAAACATAGCTACATAGATACGCACATACATAGATACACAGATGCATGGATACACGCATACATAGAAACACAGCTACATAGAAACACAGCTACTTAGAAACATAGCTACATAGATACGCAGCTACATAGATACGCAGCTACATAGATACGCACATGCATAGATACACACATACATCGAAACACAGCTACATAGAAACATAGCTACATAGATACGCACATACATAGATACACAGATGCATGGATACACGCATACATAGAAACACAGCTACATAGAAACACAGCTACTTAGAAACATAGCTACATAGATACGCAGCTACATAGATACGCAGCTACATAGATACGCACATGCATAGATACACACATACATCGAAACACAGCTACATAGAAACATAGCTACATAGATACGCACATACATAGATACACAGATGCATGGATACACGCATACATAGAAACACAGCTACATAGAAACACAGCTACTTAGAAACATAGCTACATAGATACGCAGCTACATAGATACGCAGCTACATAGATACGCACATGCATAGATACACACATACATCGAAACACAGCTACATAGAAACATAGCTACATAGATACGCACATACATAGATACACAGATGCATGGATACACGCATACATAGAAACACAGCTACATAGAAACACAGCTACTTAGAAACATAGCTACATAGATACGCAGCTACATAGATACACAGATGCATAGATACACGCATACATAGAAACACAGCTACATAGAAACACAGCTACATAGATACACATACATAGATACACATACATAGATACACATACATAGATACACATACATAGATACACATACATAGATACACAGATGCATAGATACACACATACATAGATAGACTGGTGCCTAGATACACACATGCATAGATGCGCAGATACATAGATAGACTGGTGCTTAGATACACACATGCATAGATGCGCAGATACA